GTGTGTGTGGTGTGTGTGGGGTGCGTGGCGTGTGTGGGGTGCATGGGGTGTGTGGGGTGTGTGTGTGTGGTGCGTGGCGTGCGTGGGGTGTGTGGGGTGTGTGGGGTGCGTGGCGTGCGTGGGGTGTGTGGGGTGTGTGTGTGTGGGGTGTGTGGTGTGTGTGGTGTGTGTGGGGTGTGTGTGGGGTGCGTGGGGTGTGTGGGGCGCGTGGCGTGCGTGGGGTGTGTGGTGTGTGGTGTGTGTGGGGTGTGTGTGTGTGTGTGGGGGGTGTGTGGGGTGTGTGGGGTGTGTGTGGTGTGTGTGGGGTGTGTGTGTGTGGGGTGTGTGTGTGTGTGGGGTGTGTGTGTGTGTGTGGGGTGTGTGGGGTGTGTGTGTATGTGGGGTGTGTGGGGTGTGTGTGTATGTGGGGTGTGTGGGGTGTGTGGGGTGCGTGGGATGCGTGTGTGTGCGGGTCGTGTGGCGGTTTGCGCGCTGCGCTACGAACCCGGCGACCCGGGTTCGATTCCCGCTCACGGCCAACACCGGTGACGATTTTCTCAACCGGTGTTGGGGCCTCCCCTAGGTCGACTCGGCCTCCAATGAGCACCTGGTGCGCTGTGTAAACATCGCCACTGGGGTAACAAAGGTGGCCGGGCGTGGTACTGGCCACCCACCCCGTTCGTGTGCTGTGCCGGCCTTCATAGGTGCTCGCTAACAGCACTCGCCCCAACAGTCTGTTCAGGCTACACGGGGGGATCTTTATCTTGTGAGCCAATGTATATGTGCAGGCTCCATCGTTCGATTTACTTTTTGCAATACAATAGAGCAGGCGGGTGAGCGTTCACCTCATGTCGGTGGTGATTTGATTAATTGTCCCGCCTGGAGATGTACAATTAGAACGAAGAACCTGAGTCTCTTTTGGTTCGTGTCTGGTTTGTATTGTTTCGTGTCTGTATTGTTTCGTGTCTGTATTGTTTCGTGTCTGTATTGTTTCGTGTCTGTATTGTTTCGTGTCTGTATTGTTTCGTGTCTGTATTGTTTCGTGTCTGTATTGTTTCGTGTCTGTATTGTTTCGTGTCTGTATTGTTTCGTGTCTGTATTGTTTCGTGTCTGTATTGTTCACACATAGACCTCAACGTGACGTTCGCACACGGTTCGCATCACATTTACATATCTAGGAATGAATTCTTCTTCTTTCGTACGGCCGATGTAGACGCAGAGCAACGGCTACAATTTCACATTCAGGCGGCCAAGTCAGATAACCGAGTCAGGAACCAGCGGAGTGCATCATCGCTGTGATGTCTACTTCGTATTTGTGGATCGGGGCATTGCGTCGTTTATACGTTGCACGGTCCGTTCTGGATGGCCACAGTCGCACACCGGTGGAGAGTTTTTCACCGTCCATTTGTTCGTTGATTGCCGATCACGCGGATCGATTTGAATCAGTAAAACTACGCGCGGTTTACAAACCCCCAGCGATTGCACCTCGCTGCGTCGCCGCTCGCGGGGGAAGCGGCGACGCAGCGGTCCGTGCGCCCAGAGCCCGCCAGCGGCCGTGGCCAACGTCGGTGGCGAGCGACATCCGGAGCAGCAACGTCCGCCGCCATCCCTACTGGCGGAACTCGCGCCCCATCGCAAGGCCGGCGCAGCCTGCGGGGGACTGCCGGCTGACACTGCGGGTCTGCGGCAGGGCAACATTGGCAAGGGTTGTTGATTTGAGATGCGCGACCTGAAGTGAGTTTTCCGAGGGCGCTTGTGCAGGCGCCCTCTGCGCGTGCAATGTCCCTCACGTCGGCAACTGTGGGTGGGGGGGGGGGGACGAAAGTAGGGGGGCCGCTGTGCGCCGATGAACGCTCCCCAGCCCCTCGTTGAGCTGAGAGCATTTGGCCTACGGGGGGGGAGGGAGGGAGGTGGGGGGGGGGGGGTGGGTGCCGAGTGGGGGATGACCTCCGCCCGTGTCTTGAGTGAAAGATATTTCTATCTTGATTTGAAGTTTTCGTGACTGCAGGAGTCCACACCCTTCGGGTCTTTCGGAAAAAGTCACGTGGGTAGAAAAATAAAATAAAACAAGAAATGCTGGTTCAGCAGTTCTACTGCTGGATACATTTGTTTTTTTTCCACCTGAGGATGACCGCTTGTGTTGTGATCGAAACGTCGTGATTTATTGCTTTTTGTTTTATTTTTCTACCTAAGTGACTTTACCGAAAGGACCAAAAAGAGTATGGATGTTTCTATTTATTTTTCTGTGGCGGGACAAGATGGTCGGATGCGTTCTGCCTGCGTGCATGTTCCCACTCTCTTTATCTCTCCGAGCCGTGTCCTTTCTCAAAGAGGTTGGCGATCATGGTCTCCCTCACATTTAGCTGCGTCCGTGATCTTTTTGTTGGTTCGACATTCGTACATACAACTGCTTTTTTGTGTTTAATGTCGCTCTCCTTCCTGGCATCTCCGATTAGCACAGTTGGCTACGTATGGTGCGGAAGAAGTTCAACATAACATACATTTACTTAATGACTTTGCTTTAGACACTCCCAGTTGTGTCTCGATTTGAAGCTTTCGTGACTGCAGGAATCCACGCTCTCTGGTTCTTTCGGTAAAGTCACGTAGGTAGAAAAAAATTACAAAAGAAGACACGACGTTTCGGTAGATGATTTTCTCACCTGAAGACGGACGCCTGCGTTGCGACCGAAACGTCGTGTTTTCTTTTATAATTCTTTCCACCTACGTGACTTTACCGAAGGAATCAGAGAGTATGGACTCCCAGTTGTGTCCAGTTGTTCAAATTGCTTAAGTGACTTCAGTTGTTTTCTTCCCCAACTTGTTGTGGTTTCTATAATGTTCCCAGTCAAAACGTTTATATTCAGTTCCTTGTTTTCTTATCACATGTCCAATAAATCTAACTGGCATTTTCCAAATTTATTCTCATTAATATTCTTGTTGTGTTCCCTGCTGCTACCCGTAATAAATTCACGTGACTCGTCTTGTCTGCCAGGGAAATATTTTAAATCCTCCATCTTACAGTGAGGGAAAAAAAGTATTTGATCCCCTGCTGATTTTGTACGTTTGCCCACTGACAAAGAAATTATCAGTCTATAATTTATTGGTAGGTTTATTTGAACAGTGAGAGACAGAATAACAACAACAAAATCCAGAAAAACGCATGTCAAAAATGTTATAATTTTATTTGCATTTTAATGAGGGAAATAAGTATTTGACCCCCTCTCAATCAGAAAGATTTCTGGCTCTCAGGTGTCTTTTATACAGGTAACGAGCTGAGATTAGGAGCACACTCTTAAAGAGAGTGCTCCTAATCTCAGCTTGTTACCTGTATAAAGGACACCTGTCCACAGAAGCAATCAATCAATCAGATTCCAAACTCTCCACCATGGCCAAGACCATAGAGCTCTCCAAGGATGTCAGGGACAAGATTGTAGACCTACACAAGGCTGGAATGGGCCACAAGACCATTGGCAAGCAGCTTGGTGAGAAGGTGACAACAGTTGGTGCGATTATTCGCAAATGAAAGAAACACAAAAGGACTGTCAATCTCCCTCGACCTGGGGCTCCATGCAAGATCTCACCTCGTGGAGTTGCAATTATCATGAGAACGGTGAGGAATCAGCCCAGAACTACACGGGAGGATCTTGTCAATGATCTTAAGGCAGCTGGGACCATAGTCACCAAGAAAACAATTGGTAACACACTACGCTGTGAAGGACTGAAATCCTGCAGCGCCCGCAAGGTCCCCCTACTCAAGAAAGCACATATACATGCCCGTCTGAAGTTTGCCAATGAACATCTGAATGATTCAGAGGACAACTAGGTGAATGTGTTGTGGTCAGATGAGACCAAAATGGGGCTCTTTGGCATCAACTCAACTCGCCGTGTTTGGAGGAGGAGCAATACTGCCTATGACCCCAAGAACACCATCCCCACTGTCAAACATGGAGGTGGAAACATTATGCTTTGGGGGTGATTTTCTGCTAAGGGGACAGGACAACTTCACCGCATCAAAGGGACGATGGACGGGGCCATGTACCATCAAGTTTTGGGTGAGAACCTCCTTCCCTCAGCCATTGCCAAACGTCACCCTCGAAACCTTAATGACTTGGAGAAAATCAGCAAAGAGGATGGGGACAAAATCCCTCCTGAGATGTGTGCAAATCTTGTGACCAACTACAAGAAACGTCTGACCTCTGTGATTGCCAACAAGGGTTTTTCCACCAAGTACTAAGTCATGTTTTGCAGAGGGGTCGAATACTTATTTCCCTCATTAAAATGCAAATCAATTTATAACATTTTTGACATGCGTTTTTCTGGATTTTTTTGTTATTCTGTCTCTCACTGTTCAAATGAACCTACCATTAAAATTATAGACTGATAATTTCTTTGTCAGTGGGCAAACGTACAAAATCAGCAGGGGATCAAATACTTTTTTCCCCTCACTGTAAGTTCATTGCTCTTGTTTCTAGTTTGCTCTGCAGGCACTTAGTAATTCCCGGCAGTCAATTCTTGCAGAAGCTTCTGGATAGCCACCGAACAAACACGGTCACTGCATTGTGCGCTTTTGGATGCGCTTCCGTGCGCCGTCTGGAAAGCTCTTCCGATGTTAGGAAGCCACTGGAGCTATGCACTTTGAAATCATCATCCAGATTGAAAACTCATTTGTCTAGAACTGCTTTTTTGTGTTTAGTTTGTTGTCCTTCCCACGGCACCTCCAATTAGCACAGGCTGGCTATGTACGGTGCGAAAGAATTTCAACATACATACAAAGGTCCCCTGTATAGCCTTAACAGACTGTTGGGGCAAGTGCTGCTAGCGAGCACCTATGAAGGCCGGCACGGCACACGAGGGGGTGGGTGGCCAGCACCACGCCCGACCGCCTTTGTCTCCCCAGTGGCGATGTTTACACACACACGCGCAGGAGAACGGACTGTCGCGGCTGCCCGCGGAGGGGGGGGGGGAGGTTGGGGGGGGTGCTGTGAGACGCTAACCGGCGGCCTTTTTTTTTCGTACCGCAGGGCCAGTTTTGCGACGTGTGCCGCGTGGACGCGCCCGAGAAGGCGCACCCCGCCAAGAACGCCATCGACGGCACCGAGCGCTGGTGGCAGAGTCCGCCGCTCTCGCAGGGGCTCCAGTTCAACACCGTGAACGTCACGCTCGACTTCGGCCAGGTGGGCCCCCTCCCCCCTCCCCCCCCCCCGCTTCCCATCCTCGCCCCACGGTGACCCCCTCGGTGTAGCCGCGACGCGCGCGGCGAGGCTCCGGCGGAAGACCCGGGCGCGTTTATTTCACGTGCGCGAAACGCGGCGAGGCTCCGGTCGCTTCGTGCACGGCAATTGGGTCGAGGTGCAGCCGTGCGATTCCCTGCTTGCTCTCGCGCCGCTGCGGGCGGAGGGGCCTCCGCTGGCCGGAGGCCGCTCCAGAGAGGGCCCGTTCAGGAGGGTGTTGTTTCGGGCCTACTCTTCTACGCTGTTGAAGGAAGTGGGAGTAGCCACGCTTTAACCCCACCGGCGGAGTAGTACCCGTTTGCAACGCTGGCTGGGCACCAGCGTGGGAGGGATTCAATGAACTCGATTCAAACAATTGTTGCGACTGCCGCGCCGGGGAGATCAAATCGAACCGGCGAGCTGTCCACGTTGCCGGCCCATTTTTGCTAAACGTTAGGCCACGTGCAGCAGGCCTCGCGAGAACGAAGGCAAGAATGTAAATGATCTTTGATGAATTTTACGAGTTGTGATGTTATTACAAGCGAGGGTGGGTTAATGAACTGCCACAGCTTCGGTGCATTGCCCCGGTGGTTTGTAGAATTCTCAGCGGGTTCTCCTAAAGGGGCAACACACATATATCTCAGCTTGCATTGACCGTAGGTTGTAGTTCTGTGATATCCGTGTCCGCGGACCACTCTCGAACGCAAAGGCTCGCGGCCGCTCCGCGAGACGTCCGCATGGATTCTCCGACTTAGTGACGCGAACGCCGCCGGCGCAATCGGGGTCCTTGGTCCCCCAATTCTCACCGCACTGACCAGCGTGCCGAAGCGTTACAAACAACGCCGGCGACGGACATGGCGGCGTGGGTCGACGGAACCTCGGCTTCCACCCCATGCCCCCCCCCCGTCAACTCCAGCGACCGAGAAATGTCTCCCGAGGTCTGCGAGGATCTCGTTTTTTTACACCCGAGCTCCCGCTTGGAATGTGAGGTCACGACGGTTTTGCACACTGCAGTAAATGGAATTACGCTTTGCTTTATCGATTAATATCGATTGTTGAGCACGCGACGCCCGTATCGGGTCGAAGCGTGTGAGCATTATTGCTGCCTTAAGCTAAATGCAACGAATTCTCATCAACCACCCCCCCCCCATCTCCCCTGTGGCCACGATAGAGGCGCGATCAATCATCGCAGTATGCAAAAAAATATTCTTCAAACGAACCGCGCATTCTTGCACCCTGACAATTAGTGGAATCTCCTGGGGGGGGGGGTGGGGGGCGATGGCGGGAGAGTAGGGGCTGTGGTGTAAGGGTCTATCAAATCCGCCCTTACCTTTGATGTTAAACAAAATACATTTCAACGGGTGTGCCTTTGTGGCACAGGGTGTCAGGTCGGGGTCTGAGAGAAGTCTTCCCTCCCTGCCCCCCCCCGCTAGTAAAAATTCACATTGGGGTGTAATTGATTGCATCCCTTGGCGCAAGCAGTGTAAGCACTGAGGCTCTGCCCATCTCGTGCACGCTTCCGCATCTCGGTGTGCACCCAGATGCCTACGGAGTGGGACGCTCCTTGCGTGCAGGTACGTGGAGCCGAGTCGCTCGTCATTTCGAGTTGGAGTTTGAGAAATAAAACGGAAGCTGCCCCGGCGCTAAGCCTCCAAGCCCCATCGTCGTGTGCACGCGGCCCGGACGCATTGCACACTGTCTCCTGAAACAAAGCGCCCGGCCCATGCAGTTCGGAAGAGCTGCATAGATGTACATCTTTCCACGCACGACGTCACGTCTTGCCCCCTCGATCGCATCTGCCGGTGCCACTCCAGCACAGCTAGTGGTGTTCGGGGGGGGGGGGGTGGGGTGGAGTCTCAGCGTCCCGGAGTGGAATCCTGCATCGTCTGCCAGTGAGCGTAACCCCAAACACGTGTTTTTATTGCTCAACGGATGCATCCCCCAGATTGATGGATTTTTTTTTTTGGGGGGGGGGGGGGGAGGGGGGTTTGTCCGAGCAGTCGTGCAGGGTAAATGAAAACTGTTTCTAAAGAAGCCGACGTTTCTCTCCGGCAGACATTGTGCAGGCGGCTCTCTTGCTGCAGCAGTTTAATTCGTGCGTTTGGATTATTTGTCTGCTGTCAGTTTCCACGTGATGAGCCACTTCGTCGAGCGACCATTTGTCGCCAGGTCGGAATCGCAATCGGAAATATTTATTTATGCCGGAGGAATCCGATGAGCTATGAAGCTCTTTTTCTCACGTGTGTCCAGTCGCGGCGGGTAAGAACGTTACAACGATGAACAGTACAAAAACACAATTGGAGTGCAAGGCGCAAGAAGAGAGGCAAAGAAATCGCCCAAAGACGTACAAATTAAACTAAAGCGTCCCACTGCTACGATGCGAAACCCACGGGGGTGTTAACTTGTTTTTCAGAAGCGACCTGGCAACAAGTGATAGCTCAACAGAGTGGCTTGTCGCGTGCGCAATGTACAGCCGCAAAAATTATGTCCTGAACAAGTGCCCAACAGCTCAGTCGGCTTTGCATCGTAAACAAAGTGGTACGAATAAAGTAAGCAGTTTTCAGCTTAATACGGCCCTTCCCTCGGCGAGGCATTGCGGAGTGACCCGCTGGTAACCGAGGCACGTGGAGTTTGGTGAAGATGCGAGGGCTCAAGGAAAATGCGGTCATGCCGGCTGGCTCGGGGACGTTTCTCCCACGATTTGAGGAATTCTCTTCGGGGAGCCGCTCTGGTTAAGGCTCTCTCAGGCTTTCGCACTGAATTCGAAGAATGTTGAATACATCTATATACAAGTGTGTCAAAAATTCTTCTCGCTTTTAAACATTCCTCTGGTTTTTTTTTTTGTGTGTGTGCTGACAACGAAATTTGGTTGGCGTATTTGCCCCTCCACGTGATGACTTGATTTGATTGGCTCCACCGCTGTCGCGGAGGAGAGTTATAGTTAAACGCTGACATTATACACTACTGCAAGATACAACCCCAGCGGTAACCAATCATACAATACGTCTTAAATGTCTTCAAAGTCCAAGTGCCTCCATGCCTCATGTTGGCAGCCCTGACTCAGTGGTGAAAATGTTGCATTACTATGGCAGGGACATTCGCGGTGGCTAGGAGATGTTAACTTCCTCGCCTGGTAAACAGGAGGTCGTGGGTTCGATCCCGACCCCGAAACCTCTATATTTGGTGTTTGCGTGTTCTCCCCGTGGTTGCGTGGATCTTTCTCTGGATCCTCCGGTTTTTCCCCTCCACATTTTGGAAACGTGCGTTTATAGTATTTTTCAAAGTGTTTCTGTAGGTAAATCACAGTTCATTTCTGTGCAAAGTGGAATATAACAGAGTGCATATGTTTTAAATGTGCATCTTGTGTGCAGGTGCAAGTTGAATTTTATCATCGCCAGTCCATGAGAATTGTCCACGGCTTTAGGGGGGTGTGGGTGGGGGGGAGATGGGGGCATTCGTACAGTAGGGTGAATAGAGAAAGGCTGATATATACAAGACAAAGATCCCCCGTGTAGCCTGTAATGGACTGTTGGGGCAAGTGCTGTTTCGAGTAGCACCTATGAAGGCCGGAATGGCACACAAGGGGGTGGGTGGCCAGCAGCACGCCCAGTCGTCTTTGTCTCCCTAGTGGCGATGTGTTTATACACTGCACTTATTTGAGGCTAAGTCTACCAGGACCGATTCAGATATATACGCCACTGGTATGAACCGTGAGCGTGAATCGAACTCGAGTCGCCGGGTTCGTAGCGCAGCTCGCTAACCGCTACACCACCGCTCCCCACAAGAATACACACAGATAAAGACAGAGATCCCCCGTATAGCCTCAGCAGGCTGTAGGGGCAAGTGCTGTTAGCGAGCACCTATAAAGGCCGGCACGGCACACGAGGGGGCGGGTGGCCAACACCACGCTCGGCCGCCTTTGTCTCCCTAGTGGCGATGTTTACACATCGCACCAGGTACTAATTTGAGGCTGAGTCGACCTAGGGGAGGCCCAGGACCGGTTCAGATAATCCTCACTGGTGTTGGCCGTGAGCGGGAATCGAACCCGGGTCACCAGGTTCGTAGTGCAGCGCGCTAACCGCTACACCACTGCTCCCCACAAATATACACGAACACACACACACACTCACGTCCGTGTGACTCGGTCGTGTAGGAAATGTCCAATGTGCAATTGGGGTCATCTCAGCCCATGACTACTTCGTCCAGGTCTCGACCTGAACAACATCGCGTGGGACCGTGCTGTTTCGTGGGAACTAGACGCCCGTCTTCTTTCGTGGTCGTCGGCGGCGTCCACAGGAGCGGACGCCGGCAAATGACGACCACATTTTGTTTTTTTTAATTGAACCCATATCAAACAGTCACGTACAGCAGAGGGCACACGTACGTACGCAAGTAAGGTCAGCGCATCTGGGGATTGCACCGTCTGGGTAGGCTTTTCTCTAAACAGCAGCTTGTTAAGATGGACAAGGTTCATTTTCTCACCAAGGTAGGGGGGTGGGGGGGGGGTGCAAAAAATTTTATTTGCGAAAATTAAAAAAACCTTATTTGCACCTTGGAGAAAGTGCCGCCTGCCATAGTTCTGTGAATGTTCCACCACAGGTTCAGGACCCTCGAGGGGAGATGAACAACTGCGTCATGATTAGTCGAACACACGGGGATATTTTTTTGTGAATGGGCAGAGCCCCAACAACTCCGCGCCCGCTGACCCGCAGAATATGAGATTGTGGTCCCTAGTGTAAATAACCGCGGGGCAAAATTGTTAGGAAGAGCCAATTACGCTAAGCCCCGTGTAACAGGTTCACTCTGGGGAGGATGGATGGCCTGCCGGTGAGCCAGCGTGCGTGTAGCCGACAGCTTAATCCTTGTGGCTGATTTCTGGGAGGAATTTCCTATGACCCTCGTGACCTCTTCTCTCGAGGGGGAGGGGGGCGGGGGGGGTTAAGGCATTTGTGTGCAAGTGCTTG